CTCGATTTCCTCGTGATGTATTCATTTCTTGGCAACTTGATATTTGCTTCCACATGGATCTTCCTACCAAAAGCACTCTCCCAGAATGTCACCAATCATTTTTCTGTCCTTTTGCTTCTAACACTTTCTTCAGTTTTTGGTATTCTCAGCCACCTCCTGTTTGCTGGGCTTTTGTGATATATAACTCTCTCTCTTGTTTCTTTTCCTACCTCCCTGACCACTTCTTTTCAGTCTCCTACATGTAGGTATCACCCTTCTCTTGTCCCCACTGTGTTATTTGACTTCTAAATTAATCTTCTTCCCATGCCTGCCAGGAGAATGGTTTCTCCTCACTTATCCTCCTTACTGTGGATCTTTCCCAAGGCTCTGCCTTGGTATCTCTTCTCTCTCTACACTCTCTCCCTGGGTCATCTCTTCAGCTCCCATGAGTTCAGACATCATCTCTAGATAGGTAACTCAGAGATTTAGATAGAGTCCTAATCTTTCTCCTCAATTCTAGTTCTCCATCATTAACTACCTACTCATGATCTAGGCACTGTAGCAGCAGAGTATCTTCCCTCCAAGAGCTTCCAAAGTACCATATTTCAATGGATAATTGTTGCACTTTCGCATACGTGTGTGTGTGTGTGTGTGTGTGTGTGTGTGTGTTTCAGTCCAAAAATCGGTTTATAACCTTTCATGACATAATTGCTGCATGGTATAATTCCATTCATCTCACCATTTAAGAGGTAAGCAGAGCAGCAATGTGTTCACCAGTGGCATATGGGTATGCATTTATCTCTTGCACATTGTGACTCACGAGCCAAGAATTCTCAGTGCCCATGCATTGTCAATATTCAATTTTAACATATATTCACTAGTATTCTGTGCATCCTAATCTTGCACCAAAGACAGTTTAGTAATAAATGATCTTTAAGTAATACCAGCACAATTAAAAAAAAATTCACATAATGGTTGCACCCTACTTTTTTGCAAATTAAAATTTGGCATAAAATCTGTGATGATTATGCGGTGAAATACGATGTAACTAATAGCTTTAGTATGGGTTAACCCATAGTTAGTACTCAATAAGTGTTAATGACTTTGTCAGGTAGGCATCTGGAGAGGGAAGAAGAGATTGGCACGAGCTTGGGGCAAAGAGGAAAGGGTCAGCAAAGGCACCACTGGCACGGATGAACTTAAGCCAGGAAATGAAATAAGAATAGCAATAAGAAAATGCTGAACGCTTGTCTGGACCTCTGTACTTCAGGACAAGGATGGCACCCAAGATTACAAGCCTGAATTCCCAACACTCTGTTCTTGGGGGAGGTGAGACAAGTGGAAAAAAGATCAGCAAATATCAACATATAAAATGCATAATATTTGGTTTTCTCCTTCCACCTCATGGTGAAAGGGTGACTTGGGGCTAAATGGGCCCACATTACATACCATTAGTCATTTCCCTAAGTCCTTTTCTATGTATGGGTTACTGCCTCAGTTTCTGCATCGGTCAAAAGGACATAATCACCTCTGCCCTATGTAGCTGAGAGGACTATTGTCAGAAGAAAATGATGATAGGTTTAAAAGCACTTGGAAAAGGAAAAAATGCCACACAGCCAGAGGGTGTTATTATCATTACCAGAATCATCATTTTGGGGTATTTTTCTCTATGTATGTTTTAAGCGACCTTGAAAAATAACACGACCTGTAGCCACAGGGAACCCAGTGTAGGAGAGTTGTTTATCTTGTGCCTGAGCAAAGGAACCAGCCCTGGAAAAGAATGAGGCCTGTGAGGAGGGGCTGTAGGAAGCAGCTCTCCTCACCAGGCCTGAGAAACTCTGTCTTCTCCCTAATCCCCACCTCAACCTTGTAAAAGGGGAGAATCAGGCCAGTCATGTGATATGGCTTTTTACGGGGAAGCATGTACGTTGAGTTTTAGTCCACTGATTTCAGAGATTTGTTTACAATTTTTAAGAAATCAATAAAAAAAATCACTGCTTCCCTACCTTCTTATGTGGAAGACAACTTTGCTTAGGAAAGTACAAAGAAAAGACTTGTTACCTCTGCCCTCAAGCAGTTTACCATCTAAATATTCAAAAGGCATGAGATTAGCATAGAAATCATATCTCTAGAGGAAGACAGGACCTCAGAGGCCATTAAGATCAACTGCCTTATTTTATAGAAGGAACCGAGAGACCAGGAAGGTGAATGACTTTGCTTAAAGTCACAGAAATACTAAGTGTCAGGGACAGGATTTGACTCCAGGACTTCTGATTTCAAAGTCAGTGCTCTCTGCCAATAGTCTAAGGCTACAGAACAGTCTTATACATAGCTCAGTTAATAAAACAAATAAATGCTTAGGAGTTCTGGGAGTGGGAGTACAAGGAAGCATATCAGGCTGGCTTAGATCAGAGAGCATTTCATGGAAAGGTGCATTTGAATTTTTGTTTGAGGGGACATGGATTGGATTATTGAAAAATTTTAACTGCCTCCACTTTTCTGAGGCTTATAAAGTATTCCTTTTCTCATATTTAAAGGGCCATTTACGGCTGAGTACTAAAGTGTCTAAGTTCCCAGATTAAGGCAGAAAGGACCAATGACAATTTTTTTTAAATAATGATTCAATAAAACTGTTGCTATTGTTTTAAAAGCAGTCAAAACTTCCTTTATTTACACTTTCTTCCCAATGCCAAACCAGAGTCAAGAGCATACAAAAGTCGTGAAACCAATTCATTTTCCCAAAAGCAATCGGTTTTTTCCTATAAGCCAGGATTTGAAACGGTGGTAGTTAGTGGGAACAATTAACACATTTTAAAGCTGAAAAGAAACCTTGGATATTTAGACATGTACATGTAGGGTAACCATAACAGAATTCATTTGCTCATCCCCTCCAAGCACTACTACTGGAGCGGGTAGGTGGTGTCATAGTGCACAGAGCACCAAACCGGGAAGTTGGAATGAGGCCTCGGACCCTTACTAGCTGTGTGACCCCGAGCCAAGTCACTTAACCCTGTTTTCCTCAGTTTCCTCATCTGTAAAATAGCCTGGAGAAGGAAATGGCAAAACACACCAGTATCTTTGCCAAGAAAACCCCAAAGGGGGTAGCAGAGTAGGACCCAATGAAAAAATAACTCAACACACTGATCACTCCAGCACTGCAGTGGTACATGCGTATTTAGATAAGTTAAGGGTACTGTCTTGACTAAGTTTAATTGAAAAGCAAACATCCAGTGCAATTGATGGTGATAAACTTAGAATTAAATGATTTGGAAACAGTTCAGAGCAGACAAATCAGATAATAGCAACCTTCATGGACAGTGTGGTGCAGCTGCTGCTGACAACTTGTAAAGATAAAAGCTGATGGTAAAGTCAAGAGCTAAATATGAGATCAGGTCAAGGGATTGATGTTAATACCCAAAGTATAAAACTTTGAACCTTAAGTGATTCTTTATGAATTTTAAAAGGGGGGGGGAAAGCCCTCTTTCTGAGTAAGTCAAATCTTGCTTAACACTAGAAGGAATGGAATTCTAAAAACCTTTGAAGGACCAAACTGTGGCAATTGATGCAATGCATGTGCACAAACAAGAGATAGAAGGATGAAATTTTATTTCAGAATAAAATTGTAAAATCGGCTTATATTAATTGTATTTAAAGTCCACTGCACAGATAGGAAAAATTACAAAAATTGTGGAAACTTTGGGAAAAAATAGAAAAAAAGTGTTATGTCAATTAATGTGCCTGGGGGCATCTCTTTACCTTGATCATGCTGAAAAATTCCAGTTGTGCTGTAATCATGACAGTCTTTTACTTATCTACCCCCACCACCATCCTATTCAACACTAGTTAGCTGCAGTTGTCCTTATCTGATTTGTGACTTAAAATAAATATATCAACAGGACTCCAACAGCTCAGTTCCCAAAACATTTCCAGACCACAATCTTATCAACTGTTTATGAGGGGCCAGAGCCTAACTCTAGTGTTTCCAAGATGTGATTTGTTTTTGGGCAATTTTCAGTGATACTAGTAAGAAAAAAGCCAAGTAAATAGATAAATAAAAGAATGAATAAAAATAAGAGTCTGTCACAAAAAGAAAAAAAAACTTTTTTCCAAGTCAGCTTGTAGTCACAGGCAAAAGAGGAGATGACCTATCCAAGACTATACTTCTGTTTAGTGGTTAGCTGTGTGAGACTAGAACCAAGGTCTTCTGATTCTCAACTCAGGCTTCTTTCAACTATATCTCACTGATTTGAGGATGAAGTGAGGGCAAGGGGATTGCGCAGAGGGATGAGGGAAATTTAAATACACATTTTAAGCTCTGGTCAGTACTGCTATCTATGTGTATTCTAGTTCCTCAAGTAAAATGATTATCTGATACCTCATCATGACACAGACGCAACCTTGGGCTCTTAAAGATTATTCCAGCAAAGTGCTAAAGTCCAGTAGGTGCCCCCCAAGCTGGAAAGTCTGCTGTTGTTCAAGGATTCACTCGGCTAAGTGAGAAGAAACGCCATCACCAGCAAGTTGGCTCCCAGGCAATGGCTCATGGCAACTCACAAAATTGTCTGCTCAGGGTTAGCAGGCTTGCCCTCTGCATCAATGGAGAGAGCAAATGAATAAATGGAGATGGGATTCTCAAAGTGTGATTTAATTATTGCTCTCTAAACAATCTACAGGGCAGCTAGGTGACACAGTGGATAGAGTACTAGGCCTGGAGTCAGAAAGATCTGAGTTCAAATCTGGCCCCAGACACTTCCTAGCTGTGTAGCCCTGAGCAAGTCACTTAACTGTTTGCCTCGGTTCCTCATCTGTAAAATGAGCTGGAGAAGGAAACGGCAAACCACTCCAGTATCTCTGCCGAGAAAACCCCAAATGGAGTGGTGGAGAGCTGGACACAACTTGGAAAACAACTGAACAGCAAACATTCTGCAGACATTTATTTTGTGTTTTGTAGCAAAGGGAGTCAAATGAAATGTGCCAGCCCCACTACTAACAGCATTTTGTTTTCTGTCTTGTTATTCCAGGAGCAGAAGGCACAGTGTTCCCTAAATCTATAGAAACGCCTAATGTGAGGGCAGAACCCTTCAAGGAACTAAGGTAATCTTTGCGATCTAGTTTGCACCTATGTACATCATCTACATGCCATTGCAATGAGATGGTCTGAGTTGCATTTTTTTTCCTGCTGACAACTGATTTTCCAGCTGAGTTTCCTTTTGAGTGTAAATATCATAGATGAAATAGAAATGTCACAGAGGAAATGTCATAGAAAGGGGCAGAAGGAACAAATAGAAAATTGTAATTAGGAGTAATGTCTCAATAAGCAAGAGCCCGGGAGACGTGAAGTCCTGGTTAAAGAACAGAGGATGACAGAATCATGAATTTAGAGCTGGAAGGGTCCTCAGAGGTCATCTAAGAGTCACCTCATTTTTCCAGATAAGAAAATAGAAATCTGCAGAGATTGAGTGACCTGTCCTAAGGTTAGTGGCATAGTAGGGATTTGAACCCAGGCCCTCTCATCAAAACCAACACTCTTGGAAAACCTGGCTGGGAGATGAGATACATTAGAAATCTTTGATTAGGCTCATCCATCGATGACTGAGATAGCCTTAAGACTGCAGGAATGACAACGAGGGCCAAAACAGTGGTAGAATTACCTTTGATAGAGAAACAAACCATTCCATGCCCAGGTAACAGCATAGGAAGTGCTGTCAAATCGCCTACTTTCCCTCAAACACTCTGTTTCCACACAGTAGAACTGTAAGACATCTTTGTTCCAAAATATAAACAGAGGAACCCTGATATGTAAAGGGGATAACCATGGAGAGAATATTTTTCAAAAGGCTACAAATAACACTAATCTAATAGAAGCAGCTTCAATATAGTGTTCATTCAAGAGATGCCCATACCCCACTCAGGGAAAATTGGATCTCCTCATCTCTGAAGAGGTAATTTTAACCAAAGCTAATCAGAAACACCTTAAGTATCATACATACCAGATGAGGTACACCTTTAATATGATTTCATTAGTGGAAGGCAGCCACATACAAATCTATTTGTATTGTACAAGGCAGACCTAGCTTTCCAAGGAGCAATTTAAACGTAGCATGCCCACTAATGTGGCAGCGGTCATGTCGGAAAATAATAATATGATAATTCCCAGAAAATTAAGGTTTTCTTTGTGCTGTGTTTCCCAAAACAGAAAGGTCGTTTCTGTGCTTGGTGTGAATTACAAAAATTGTGACTGAAAAAACCTTGCTGTTCATAAAGCTTTACAGGCCAGAATGTAAATGTATTGGACTAAAGCAGGAACATAATTGGTGGGTGATGAGAGTCCTTTATTAAGAAGGTCTCTGGCATGGGGAACTACACAGTACAATATAAAGAAAGCTGTGTTGCTTTTTAATGTGGTCATTTTCAGCATGGTAGAAGGATATGGCCAGATCCCTTCTACTTCTCCCAAGAAAAGGCTCCGGAAGAAGGATCTTGGGCAGGAACTGTGGTTATGGAGGCTCTAATGAGGACTTAGAGCATACTAAGCTAATGCCATGACAGCCCATGCCAATGAAATAGGATTCTTGGAGCCAGAAGTAGAGCAGAAGCTGATCTTCATTAGAACTGAGTAGGATGCTTGTCCTCTAAAGAAAGGAGACTAGAAGGCTTGAGGAATAAAGGGAGAGGGGAAGGGTTCTGGATAACAATTGAGAATTTCTATTTATTTTATATATGTAATATAGTGTATGTGTTGTTCAGTTGTTTCAATAGTGTCCAACTCTTTCTGACATCATTTGGGGTTCTCTTGGCAAAGATACTAGAGTAGTTTGCCATGTTTTTGTTCATCTCATTTTACAAATGAGCAACTGAGGCAAACAGAGCTGAGTGACTTGCCCAGGATCATACAGCTAGTAAGTGTCTGAGGACAGATTTGAACTCAGGAAGATAAGTCTTCCTGACTCCAGACCTAGCACTCTATCCACTATGCTACCTAGCTGCCCAGATATCATGTGTGTATATCTACATATCTATATATGTCCATATCTGTATCTATATCTATATCTATCTATATATATGTGTGTGTGTGTGTGTCTATGTATATATATATATATATATATAAAATCTATAAATGTGTGTATACATATACATATATACACACACTATGTGTATATATGAATATGTGTGTGTATATGTATATTCTTACAAATCTTGGAAAATATGCTCATTTCTTCTCTTTGGAAGTTAAGTATTCTGAAGATAACTGAAACAACTTTCGGTCATTTGGAACTGGAATTTCCTTGGACCAGGACTTAATATGTGTAGGAAACAAGGTTGAATCCTGGTTCATAATATAGAACTGACCTTTTTTAAAGTATTCCCCATCATGCGATTTTCCTGTGCCCGGCCTCCAGTCAGTGTAGGTTGATTTAAGATTCTTGATAATTGAGGAATATTTTCATCATTCACAGGAGGTTCCTGCTTGAAGGGCTGAAGGAATAATAAGAAATAGACACTGATTCACCTCTTGGAAAGTGCTACGTCCTGGTCCTATGATCCCATTAGTAGAGGGAACAGCCAGTGAGAAAACTCTTCCTTTGCTACCCATGTAGATCAGCAATGGCTCTGAAGCTTTTCATCTTAAAAAAAAAAAGTTGCCTGGGGGCATTGATTGGTTAAGGAATTATTCCTCAAGGTTTACATAGCCAGCATTTCATGGGCTGGACTTGAACCCAGGTCTTCATGACTCCAGTGCCGGCATTCTTTCTACCACACCACACTGCCTTGCAATGTAATAATGCTAAATCCCTTCTTTTCTTGAGCAGCCCCAGTAGGTTCAATAACATCATAGACATGGAGGTAAAAGAGACCTTAACAAGTCCAACCATCTCATTTTACAGATGAAGAAACTGAGGTCCAGGGAGTTTGAATAGCCTGCCTAGGGTCACAAAGATAATGAGACTCTGAGGTAGGGATGAAACATAGGTCTTGAGTCAGGAATGAGCCACATTGCCTTGCAATGTAATGCTAAATACCTTCTTATCTTAGTCATGCCTGGTAAATATAATCTGTCCACATCAAGAGTTGAGCTAGGAGCTAGATTATATCTACGTGGTAATTTAATTCCTTTGTAGGATCATAGAACTAGAACTAACTAAATGTGAGGGGCCACTAGTTGACACAGTAGATAGAGCACCTGACAGAGTTAGGAAGACCTGAGTTCAAATCTGGCCTCAGACACTTAGTAGCTGTGTGACCCTGGGCAAGTCACTTAAACCTATTAGCTTCAGTTTCCACATCTGTAAAATGAGCTGGAGAAGGACATGGCAAACCACTTCAGTATCTCTGTCAAGAAAACTCCCAATGGGCTCATGAAGAATTGGATATGAGTGGAATGACTAAACAACAACAAGAAGAAAGCTAAATATGTCCTATTTCAATTATAGATTTTAGAGCTAGACTTTCGAGGTCATGTAGTGTAACCCCCTCACTTCACAAATGAGGAAAGTGATGCCCAGGAAGTGAATTGCCCAAGGTCACATGGGTAGTAAGTGTTAGAACTGTGTTGAACCCAGGTCTTATGATGCCAAATCCAGTGCACACAGCATGTTGCTTCTTCATCTTACTTCAAGTTCCTTGCTTTGGAATTATTTCTGAGAGAAGCCTCTGGATTAGAATCTACCTTTAAAAAATAGAAATTCTAATGCTATCTGTATTAGGTTCTTTTTTTTTTCTTTCAACTCTATCAGATTAACTAGCAAAATCTGACCCCTCCTAATGTATCCATGCTAGTGTTTTAATACTGTCCCAATTCCACTGCACTGTTGATTACTTTAACCTTGCATATTGAGTGAAGGGAGAACGAGCTGACGGAATGACAGCCTCAATTTGTGGCATCATAGAATTGAAATTCACTTGATTGGGATGGTGCCTGAACAATATAGATCTGGTTCCTGAACTGGCATAAACAACGTAGACTATTCAGGGAAAGTTTGCTCAAGGAGACAGAATGGTATAATATCAAGAACAATGGAGAAGGAACCAGGAGACCAGTGCTCTAGTCTGGGTCTTGCCACCACCTGGTTGGGGACCTTGGGAAAGTGCACAGTTCCTTCCTCTCTCTGGGCTTGTTTCTTCATCTGGAAATGAGAGCTTTGGACTAGATGCTCTCTGAGGTCCTTTCCAGTTCAAGTGTTGTATGATTATATGCTAGGTATATTTTAGATTTTGTTTAAACCACCCACCATCTCTCAAGAGTTTTGTGGATTTAAAAAAAAAAACATTGTCTAGACCTGTGAGTCTACTGGTATTAGACACTACACCTTATTAAGAAGCTCCCTTCATCAACACCCGAAGTTACCGAGCCAATATGTCAGAGATGGAGAGTAAGCCAATATCTTCTTTATTTTGAGGTAGTTAGGTGGCACAGCAGATAGAGCTGTGGCCCTGGAGTCAGGAAAACCTGAGTTCAAATCCAGCCTCAGATTCTTCCTAGCTGTGTGACTCTGAGTAAGTCACTTAACCTCTGTCTTCTTCAGTTTCTTCAACTGTAAAATAAGGAAAATAAGAGTACCTACCTCATTGGACTGTTGTGAAACTCAAATGAGATATTTGTAAAGCTCTTGTTCTTAAACAATGCTTGGTACATACTAAATAGTAGGCACTTAATAAATATGTGTTTCCTTCCTTGCAGCTTTCTACCCACTATACCATGCTGTCTAATAAAAATGACAATGATAAATCATTTATATAGCCTTTAAGGTTTGCAAAGCACTTTCATATATCTCATTTGATCCTCATAACAACCCTGTAATGTAGATGCTATTATTATCCCCCTTTTACAGATGAAGAAAGTGAGGCCAAGAGGGGTCAAGTGACTGCCCAGGGTCACACAGCTAGTACGAACCTAAGACCAGATTTGAATTAGATCTTCCTGACTCCAGGTCCACTATCCAATATGATGAAAACAAGTGTGGAAAAATATATCCAACAGAAATATGGTAAGATGTGAAGTATAGCAAGCACAGTACCCCCAGGTGAGAGCCAACCAGGCTAGGTTTGGGAGGAGACAGGAGAGATTTACTATTTCACCCTCTGGGTAGTTTTGG